AGCATGGTTTTCTTAATATATATTTTAAGCCCACTGATGAGACCTATTGCTCAGAAAAAAGATTCCGATCAAAATATTACTGCTCATTGACAATGCACCTGATCATCCAAAAGCTACAATGGAGATATATAAACAGAATAATATTGTTTTCATGACTGCTAAGATAACATCCATTCTGCAGCTCATGGATCAAGAAACAATTTCAACTTTTAATTATTATTTAAGAAAGACATTTCATAAAGCTAGAGTTGCCATACATAGTGATTCCTCTGATGGATCTGGGCAAAATAAATTGAAAATGTTCTGGAAAGAATTCACCACTTTAGATGCCATTAAGAATATTCTTTATTCATGGGAAAATGTCAAAATATCAACATCAACAGGGGTCTGGAAGAAGTTGATTTTAACCCTCATCGAAGACTGAAGGGTTTAAAACTTTAGTGGAGGAAGCAACTGCAGAAGTGGTAGAAATAGCAAGGGAACTAGAATTAGAAGTGGAGCCTAAAAATGTGACTCCATTGCTCTAATCTCATGATAAAACTTGAACAAATGAGGAGTTGATTTTTATAAATGAACACAGAAAATAGTTTCCTGAGATGGAAACTTCTCCTCGTGAAGATGCTCTGAACGTTGTTGAAATGACAATAAAATATCTAAAATATTACATAAACTTAGTTTACAAAGCAGTAGCAGGGTATAAGAGTATTCATTAAATTTTGAAAGAAGCTCTACTGTGAGTAAAATGCTGTCAAACAGCACTGCATGCTACAGATAAATATTTTGTGAAACAAAGAGTCAATTGATACAGCAAACTTCAATGTTGTATTTTAAGAAATTGACACAGCCACCTCAACCTTTAGCAACTACTACCCTGATCAGTCAGTAGCCATCAATATGGAGGCAGGACCTTCCACTAACAAAAAGATTACAACTTGCTAAAGGCTCAGATGCTAGCTAGCATTTTTTTGGCAATAAAAATTTTTAAATTAAGTTATGTCCATTGGGTTCTTTAGACTTACTTCTATTGCACACTTAATGGACTATAGTAGGGTATAAACCTAACTTTTGCACGCACTGAGAAACCAAAACTTTCATGACTTGCTTTGAGACATTCGCTTTATTGTGGTGGTCTGGAACCAAACCCACAATATCTCTGAAGTATGCCTGTTAAGACTTTCCCAAACAAACAAAAATAGAGAAAATTTGTTGCCAGTAAACCTGCCTTGCAAAAAATGTTAAAAGAAGTTTTTCAGGGGCCGGGTGCGGTGGCTCAGGCCTGTAATCCCAGCACTTTGGGAGGCCGAGACGGGCAGATCATGAGGTCAGGAGATCGAAACCATCCTGGCTAACATGGAGAAACCCCGTGTCTAGTAAAAAATACAAAAAACTAGCCAGGCGAGGTGGCGGGCGCCTATAGTCCCAGCTCCTCGGGAGGCTGAGGCAGGAGAATGGTGTAAACCCGGGAGGCGGAGCTTGCAGTGAGCTGAGGTCCTGCCACTGCACTCCAGCCTGGGCGACAGAGCGAGACTCCATTTCAAAAAAAAAAAAGAAGTTTTTCAGAGAGGGATAATAATATAGGTCAGAAATTTTGCTTTACATAAAGAGCATCAGAGAAGGAATATGTGAAGGTAAAACAAAAACTTATTCTTCTATTCTTAATTGGTTGAATATACAACAGTTTGTTAATAATAGCAGGCTGGACACGGTGGCTCACGCCTGTATCCCCAGTACTTTGGGAGGCCAAGGTGGGCAGATCACAAGGTCAGGAGATCGAGACCATCCTGGCTAACACAGTGAAACCCTATCGCTACTAAAAATACAAAAAATTAGCTGGGCATGGTGGCAGGCGCCTGTAGTCCCAGCTACTCGGGAGGCTTGAACCCAGGAGGCGGAGGTTACAGTGAGCCGAGATCATGCCACTGCACTCCAGCCTGGGCTACAGAGCGAGGCTCCATCTCAAAAAATAAAAATAAAAATAAATAATAATAATAATAATAATAATGATAATGGTAATGGCAATAATGTATTTAGTGTTTGTAACTTACGGATAACCTTGCACTATCCATGAGGTAGTACAGTGTTACTCAAAAGTAGATTTGGATTAGATGCAAATGTATATTGAAAATGCCAGGACAACTACTAAAAAAAGTAAATAAATAAGTAAGTATACTGTAGTTGATATGCTAAGGAGCAAAAAAAAGGATCACATACAAAATGCTAAGTTAAACCACAAAAGGCAAAAAAAGAGTGGAAGAACAAAAAACAATGAATAGAATGCAGTAACAAATAAGGAAGATATTAATCCAACAATATCAATAATTAAACATCAATTGTCGTGAACACCAATGAAAAGAGATTGTCAGAATGGATCAAAAGACCCAACTATATATTGTCTACAAGAAATGGACTTTAAATATAAATACACATCAAGATTAAACATAAAGGGATGGAGAAAGATATAATAACTCGAACCAAAAGAAAACTCAGTAGCTACATTAATTTCAGAGAGAGCAGACTTCAAAGCAAGGAATGTTATCACAGATAAAGACGGACTTTACATAATGATAAAAGGACTCAATTCTCCAAGAAGACGTAACAATCCTTAAAGTGTATGCACCGAACAACAGAGCATGAAAATACACGAGGCACAAACTTATAAAACTCCAAGGAGAAATAGATGAATACACTGTTTTAGTTGGAAACTTCAACACCCATCAGTAATGGACAGATTCAGCAGGCAGAAAATCAGTAAAGACATAGTTGAACTCAACAGCACTATCAATCAACTGGATATAAATGACATCTATAAAATACTTCATCCAACAACAGCAACGACACATTCTTCTCAAGCTCACATGGAACATTCACCAAGACAGACCACATTCTTGGCCATAAAACGCACCTCAACAAATTTAAAAATAAAAATCATACAATGTTTGCTCTCAAATCCCCCAGTGAAATTAAGCTAGATACCAGTAACAGAAAGGTAGCTTGAAGATCCCCAAGTACTGGAAGATTAAACAACCCACTTGTAAATAACACTTGGATCAAAGAAGAAATCTCGAGAGATATCTCAAAGACAATATCGTCAATATGTTAGTTCTTCCTAACTTCATCTATAGATTCAATGTAATTTCAAGGGAAATTGCAGCAAACTATTTGTGGACATTGACAGAGTGATTCTAACATTTACATGGGGAAGCAAAAGACCCAGAGTAGCCAACACAATATTGAAGGAAAACTAAGTCAGAGTACTGACACTACTTGACTTCAAGCCTTACTATAAACTTCCAGTAGTCAAGATAGTGTAGTATTGGCAAAAGAATACACAGGTCAATAGAACAGAATAGTGAACCCAGAAATAGATACCCACAAATACAGTCAACTGATATTTGGCAAAGGAGCAAAGGCACTATGATGGAGAAAAGACAGTCTTTTCAACAAATAGTGCTGAAGCAACTGGACATCTGCATGCAAAAATAAATACATAAATCTGGCACCACCTTAAACTTTTCAGAAAAACTCCAAAACACTGATAACAGCAAATGATTCCAAGGATGTGGATGGGAATGCAATATGGTATAGCCACATTGAAAGACAGTCTGGCAGTTTCTTACAAAACTAAACATACTCTTACCACATGATCCAGCAGTTATAGTCCTTGATAATTATTCAAATTATATTTTATTTACAAAAAACCTGCACACAGATGTTCATAACAGTTTTATTCATAATTGCCAAAACTTGGAAAAAACCATAATGTCCTTCAGTAGGTGAATAAACAGTGGTACATCCAGACAATGGAATATTATTCAGCCCTAAAAAAAATGAGTTATTGGATACAAAAAACAGAAAGAATGAATAATACCTACTATTTGATAGCACAGCAGGGTGACTATAGTCAATAATAACTTAATTGTACACTTTACAAGAACCAAGAGTGTAACTGGGTTGTTTGTAACGCAAAGCATGAATGCATAAAAGTATACCCCATTCTCCATGATGTGATTATTCCACATTGCGTGCCTGTATAAAAACATCTCATGTACCCCATAAATATATACTCACAAAAATTAAAAATTAAACATAAATGAGTTCTCAAGCCATGGAAAGACAGGCTGGGAACTTAAATTCCTAATCAAAAGAGCCCAGTCTGAAAAGGCTACATATTGTATGTCTACCTATATATCATTTTGGAAAAAACAAAACTATGGAGACAGTTATAACTCCATGGTTTCCAGGGGTTGGTGAGCAGGAAGGATGCAGAGACAGAGCAGAGAAGATTTTCAAGACAGTGAAACTATTCTGTATGATACTATAATGATGGATGATACATGCCATTATACATTTGTCAAAACCCATAGAATGGAGAACATTAAGAAGGAACTCTAATGAACTATGGTGTTGGGGTGATAATGATGTGTTAAGGTAGCTTCACCAAAGACAACAAATGTACCAAACACGTGGGATGCTGATAGTGGGGGAGGCTTTGCCTGTGTGAAATCAAAAAAGTATATGGAAACTCTCTGTACTGTCCACTCAATTTTGCTGTGAATTTACAATTGCTCTAAAAATTAAATTCTAGGTCAGGTGCCCTGGCTCACACCTGTAATCCCGACACTGTGGGAGGCCTAGGCAGGAGGATTGCTTGAGTCCAGGACTTTGAGAACAGCCTGGGCAATATGGCGAGTCCCCATCTCTACAAAAAATTTTAAAAGTTCGACAGGCATGGTAGTGCATGCCTGTGGTCCCAGTTACTTGAGAGGCTTGAGGCAAGAGGATCGCTTGAGCCAGTGCACTCTAGCCTGGGCAACACAGTGAGACCCTATCTAAAAAAAAAAAAAGTAAAAAGTCTTTTAAAAAATTTGCTAGGCATTCGATGACCTTTAAAGATCATGTTTCTAACAGAAAATAAACAACCTTGCATTAGTGAATGGAATTTTTTTTAGGACAAATGCTATGCTGAAGCACAGAGAAATGTAAAGAATCTGTAAGACAACTTAGGTGAAAGCTTTAGATACTCGGTTCTATGAATATACGCAAAAACGAACGGTGAAATGGAAATCTTAATTGAAATGTTTAAGTTCTAAGCATCAAAATGTTTACCTTTTTTTTTGGAAGAATGTCAATGGGAAATACTGCCTGAAGACTTACATTCGGGTATGGCTTAACTTTCTTTTTTTTTTTTCTTTTCTTTTTCTTTTTTTGTTTTTTAAGGCGAGGAGCACTTTTATGTAGACTTCATTTCTCTCTAAATGCTTAGAGGAGAACGGCCTGGTGGTCTGGGTCCCTGCTCCCTTCCCAAGAAGTGGCATGGAAGCTCTGGCAAAGAGGAGTGATGTGGCAAGCGGTTCACTGATTACAGTA